TGTAAGAGACACACGAAATACAAAGTTATTCAGAAAGAATAAAATAAAAGAATAGACAATTACATGCACAGCCAATACAAAAAAGAAAAGTGAAAGAAAGAAAAAGCAGGAGTTATGATCATAATATCTGATGAGGTAGAATTCAGGGCAAAAAGCATTAGAGAAGATAGAAAGGTAGTTTAGAGGTACTAAAGGGAACAATTCACAGTGAAGATATAAGTGTTACATGTTTCCATGCACCCAGTGAGTGAGGCAATTTCATAAAGCAGAAAATGCAGGAGATGCAAAGATAAATACGTAGAAACACTCAAGTAATAGGATTTTCATTCTCCTCTCAGTCCAAACATAGCAAGAAGAAAAGGAAAAAAGCAGATTTGAAGGCTTAAATAACATTTCCAATAAAGTTAATGACATGGACATATATATATATTGAATTTTTGTACCCGAATTAGAAAATATGGCTTTTTTTCAAGTGCTTATAGAACGTTTACTAAAATTGATCATCTATTAGGTCAGGAAAAATTTAATAAAGTCAAAAGTGGAAATAATAAAGAAAATATTGTTTAACCACAAAACAATGAAAGAAACTCCTCCCCTGAGAAAGGTTTCAAAACAAACCTATTGAGCTATAGGAGGGAATTTAAAACAAACAAAAATCATAGAATTTCTAAAAACTAACTGTTATGGGTTGAATTGTATCCCCCAAAATTCCTATGTTGAACTTCTAACAGTACCTCACAATGTAACCATGTTTGCAAACAGCATCATTGAAGATCTAATTAGTTAAGATGAAGTAGTACTGAGAGAGTTTGGGACCCTAATACGATATGGTGTCTTAATAAAAAGGGGAAATTTGGACAAAGGGACACGCACACAGCGAGAACGCCATGTGGAAATGAGGGCCGTGATAGGAGTCTGAAACATTTTCTTTTATCCTTATCTTTTAGATAGTTTGCTAGGTTCAGGATTCTTGGTCGACGATTTTTTCTTGGAGAACTGAACAGATGCTTCTATAAGCCAAGGAACACCAAAGATTGCCAGAAAACCACCAAAAGCTGGGGAGGGGCATAGAACAGCTCTCAGAATGAACCAATCCTGCTGACATCTTGTCTCAGACTTTCAGACTCTAGAACAGGGAGTCAATGAATTTCTGTTGTTTAAATCAGTCAGTTTGTGGTAGTTTTTTCCAACACGATCAAAACATCGTTGTAATTTTCTGTTTAGTTGCCCAAATTCCCAACTAGAGTATACTTAGGAGTTTAGTACCCAGTGGATGCTCCAAATGTATTGAAAGAATAATTCAAGCATTAAAGGAGAGTAAATTAAATTTTCCTTACAGTCTCTTCTAAGTCAGAGATTATCATTCATTTTGTGTGTGCTTTTTTTGTTTGACTGGGGGGACTTAGGCCTTTCAAAAGCACCTAATCCACATATCTTAGGTAACGGGATCTTAGAAGTCCTTAAAAATGCATCATTTTTCAAAATATTAAAACAATATAGAAAGAACACATGTTCTTTGTTAGGATTGTTTCTCGAGAAACTCTTAAAATATGAAGATGCAAACCATTAAATGCTGAACTCCCCACAAAAGCATAAAAGCAGAATGAAGTTCTAAGAGGGATGGAATTGCTGACACTCCCCTGGACTTCAGCGGCCGGGGTGGGGGGTCGGGCTCCTTTCTCTTCAAAATATTACTCACAGGTGTTGAATCTGTCAAGAGTAGTTGTAAAGAGGGTGTTGGAAAGGCATTTTTCACTTTAGGGACTTAAACATTCTGGTGCTACATTTTAAAGGATGATAGGGAAGAATGACTATTTGTGGTGGGAAAACCATGGCAGTTCTAGACGGTTTTCCTGCAAAGTGATTCTGTGATACAAAGACGTGAAACTGTGTGTTGGAGAAGTCACCCAGGTTGCTAATTTGTAGCTTTTTGCATAGAAAATAATCCTACTTAACTCTTCATGGTGGAGTAGAATAGAAAAATTATTATTTGATACCAAGTCGCACAGATGTAAAAACACAATTTTCCCCTCTGAAAATATTAGAACCATGCTATGTGTGGCAATCCATTAACAAGATAGTTTTAAAACTATGTAGCAACATAAAAAATGCTTACAGAAAAGTCAGCCACAACCTAGTACTCCAACACAAAAACTATTACTATTTCTATGTGTTCTATTTTATATGCAAATATTTTGTATGTGGACAATTTTATATCTCGTATTTTCTTTATCACTAGTTCACATTTTCCAACTTTTGATTTCTTTCTAAAATTTTATAATCAAAAATTAACTCTAAAGTATGAAGTCTATGAATAGGAAATGAACAATACTGAAAAATTTTAAAAGAAAGTAAAAAGCAAATCTTGTTGGAACAGAATCCCAAATACCTACCAAAGCGACAGGATACTTCCCGAAGGAATTAACATATAACATTACACTTCACTTAACCATGGCAATATTAAAATGGCAGTAAAGAAATAAAAAGTGTGTGAACAGAGAGGGACAAAGAGAATGAGAAAAAAAACAATTACAGGCTGAAGATAGCCATGCATATTTGGAAGACAGAAAAAAAGACTGAGGAGAGGTAATGACTTACTTTTCAGTCTCCACAACGCTAAGAGCACATTAACAAGAAGGAAGCCGAATTGCTCCACAGTGCCTGTAAAAATCTAGGGAGTTTTAGACCCCAGATAATTCAGAAGCAAGGGCTGATAAGACTTAGAGCTTAGGATTTTTATACATGTATAGTCCTATATAAACTTTAAGAGAAACCTGCCTGTACTTCCCTCCAAGCATCTGGGTAACCATCTTCCCTTACTCCAACAGCAATTTAATATCTGGACAAGTGAAACCAGATAGATCCTGGATCTGTGGAAACCAATTGCCACAAAGGGAAGAACTGAAACACCAAATTAAAAACAGGAAAAACTGGTTACATTCTAATCCTTCTTGATTCTAAATTCTAAACTCGACTTACTGTCAACCATGAATGTTCACTCCTTGAGGAAAATATCAGAGAATTTTTCTTTGGAAAGACTGAAGCCACAAGAGAAAAAAGACCACAAATTGAGAGTCTCTCAAGTCAATGACCTAGTTCCTACCCCCTAACCTTACAGTGAAACCCACCAGTTGGCAAGCCGTGTCCACACAGGGAGCCTCCAGTCAGCTTTGTAGCATCTCACTGATAGAAATTACTGGACTTACCAGCTCTCTCCCACATATTTAAGCAAGAAGGAAGAAAAACATTTGTCAACCCAAAGACTTGTATATAATATTTGTAGCAGGTTTAATTGTAATAGCCTCAAAGTGGAAACTACCCAAAAGTCCATTAATAGGTGAATGGCTAAACACATTTTGGTATATTCACACAACGAACTACTCCCCAGCAATAAAAAGGAAAGAATTATTGATCTAGAATGCAGGTAAATCACAAAATCATTATGCTGAATGAAAAAACACCAAAGAGTTCATTCTATATGATTCCAGTTATATAAAATTCCAGAATATGCAAACAAACCTATAGCAATGAAAAGCACTTCGGTGGTTGCCTGAGGAGGGGGCAAGGGAGTGGGAGATGGGGAGTAGCAAGGGAGAAATTACAAAAATGCAAAATAAAACTTTTTGGAAGATGGAAATTTCTATTACCTTGGTTGTGCTGATGGTTTCAGGGCTGTATACATATGTGAAAAACAATCAGATTGTCTACTTTAAATATGTGCAGTTTATTTCAATAGTACCTTAATAAAACTGTAACACAACCACAATGTAAAAATAAATAAATGGATTGCTAAGGATCATCAGATACTTAAAGAAAGCTCCAACAAGAAATACAAAGGCCAAAACAAACATTCAAAAACAAACAAAAATGAACCTGAAGGAATAGAGACAACAAAGGGGAGAGAATTTCAAAAAGAAAGAGAAAGCTTTATAGCATTCTCTCAGATAAGGACAGATATTGCATCCATGAGGCAAAACCAGGATGCTACAAAAAGGACAATCAGAAAGCAGAGATCTTGAAAGTTAAAAATACATGATTGTCAAAGTTAATTTTTTAATGGAAGAGTTAATAGATTAAGTTTAAGATATTTCCAAGAAAAAAAACCGTAAAGACATGGAAAACCAGTGAGGATAAAAATGAATATAAGATTAATCTAATTCTCAAAGGTCTTTTGGAAAGGAAAGCAGAGAAAATGGAGGGGAGAAAATTATCAAGAAGTAATGCACAAACATTTCCTGAACTAAAGGACACAAGTTTATATATTAAAAGGCATATTGTTTCCAGCTCAACAAATGAAAAAAACTCACATCAAAACACATCAGCATGAAATCTCATACATCAGGAATAAAGAAAAGATCCCAAGGGCTCCAAAGAGAGATTTTTAAAAGTCATACACCACGCATCAGAAATTGTTTTTCTTTACTGCTGCACTAGTGGTTAGAATACAATGAAGTAATGTCTTTATAATTATGAAAAAAAATTATTAGTTTACAACTATATATCTAGATACATTTTTAACCAAGTATGAGATTAAAATAAAGATATTTTCAAAAATAAACATCTCAATCTTTCGTGTCCCCATTCTCAGACAGCTACTGCAAGATATGTTCCATCGAAATAAGAGTGTAAATCAAGGAAGCTAAAACAAGACATTCAAAACAGAAGAGTGGTGAGAGTATTTCTCAGGATGACAGTGAAAGGAGGGAATAGCTTGCAGCAATCCCAGAAAGAAACCAGTCCAGAAAGGAGTAGGAGGACAGAGGCTGTAGGAGAAAGACCTCAGTGGGACTAGGCAGAGAGAAGGGAAATTGGAAATCAAACTGAAATATTACCATATGAAGAGTGATTTTACTATTCTTTGAGATGATTTGCAAATCTAAAACTAAATAATTAAAATAATGAGGCAAATGTTAACTAGAAGAAAGGAAATATAATTATAGCATACTACTTGGTTCTGTAGTGAAAAAAGTTAATGTAGTCATAAAAATATGCACACTCACCAGAAAGCAATGAAGCTAGTGAAGTGCTGAGGTAATGTCAAAGGGCACAGAAGCCACCTCGAAGAGATGCTTGTTGGTACAACCTGGGATAATTCTTTACGAGCTTTGTTTTCAGCTTTATGGAAGTAATTGACAAAATTGTTAGACATTTAAAGTGTACAACATGATGATTTGATCTACATATACATCGTGAAAAGATTTCTACCATCAAGTTAATTAATACATCCATCACCTCACATAATAACTTTCTCTTTTTTGGGGGGGAGCGGAAGATCACATAAGTTCTATCTGAGCAAATTTCAATTATATAATACAACGTTATCAACTATAGTCATCATGTTTTACTTTAGATCCTCAGACCTTATTCATCGAAAGTTCATACCCTATTACCAACCTCTCCCTTTTTCCCCTACACTCCAGCCCCTGGCAACCACCATTCTACTTTGTTTCTATATATTTGATTTTTTTTTTTAGATTTCACATATAAATGATTTCATGCAGTATTTGTCTTTCTCTTCCTGGCTTATTTCATTGAGCATAATGCCCTCCAGCTTCATCCATGTTGTTGCAAATGGCAGGATTTCCCTATTTTTTAAGGCCAAATAATACTTCATTGTATATCTATATCACATTTTCTTGATCCATTCATCCATCAACAGACACTTATGTTGCTTCCATACCTTGGCTATTGTGAATAATGCTACAATAGACAGGAGAGTACAGATATCTCTTCAAGGTAATGATTTTGTTTCCCTTGGATATATGCCCAGAAGTGGAATTGCTGGGTCATATGGTAGTTCTATTTAATTTCTTGAGGTACTTCCATACTATTCCATAGTGGATGTATCAATTTACATTCCCACCAACAGTGTACAAGGCTTCCATTATGGGAGTTGAACACCAAAAAGACAAAGGAGATCAGAACACACATATGCTGAAACACATGGGTTCACAATGAGACCAAAAAAAAGAACTCTTTGGTCATTTCTGAGGATCTAGGGAATCAGTTCATTACCGTATTCTGAAAGCTGGTAAATGAGGGAAAAAAAATAAGCATATATCTTGCCTTTCCTTTAAAATTGTACCTCAAGTTAACAAAATGGTTAATGAGGTGTGTTCTTCTTTATTGAAGAATTTCACTAACAAATGTAGAAGGAATGATAGAATTAGACTATTACTATCGTGCAACCTGTGATTCTAGGCCATTATTACCAATGGTTGCTAAACTAGTAAGTGAAGGGCTGATGGAGAACTCAGAATAGACAGTCTGGCTGACAACATCTGATCTCACTTATCAATCATAACATCATAAATGAGATTCAACCAGATATTATGTGGCCCCCAATGCAATGCAATAGGAAATACGCAGTCTCACATACGACGCATTCTTACCAAAATAATAGAAATTGAATTGGATCAAGGCTGTAGACCAAACTACCAGTATAGAGGAAATACAAGTGAGAAAGGAACGCATTAAATGATACCACATGTATGTCATCAGCAAAATCCAGGATGTGGGGAACTCTACACGATAAATGACCACATTTCTTTTTAATAGATCAATAGTAAGAAGAAGAAGGAAAAGTTACATATTAAAAGAGACATAGGAGAGAGACCAACCAAATGTAATCATATTTAGATCCTGATTCCAGCAAACCAATTAAAAATTTTTTCTAGACAATTGGAAAATGTGAACGCTGAATGATTTAATGATATTAAGGAATTACTGTTAATTTTATTTTTAGTTATGATGATGATATTGTGGCTATGTTGTACAAAGTGTCCTTGTCTTTTATAGGTATTACACTAAAAAATTTACAGATAAAATTATATGATGTCTAGGATTTGTTTTAAACAATCCAGTGTGGAGTAGGAGGAAAGAAGATAGGAATATAGAGGAAACGAGAAAGACCATGTGCTGACAGTTGAAATTTTATACACATTTGAAAGTTTTCATAACTAAAAGTCTAAAATGTGAATACAAAAAAGTATGCATCTAATATTGATATAATCCAAATGTTTTATTAAAATGTTTTGGGAGAGTGGTAGAGAAAAAAAAGTGAGGATGTTGCTAAATGCTCGATTTTCATCTTCCAGACTAGGGTATCAACACATAACATTTAAAATTGATAAATCAAGAGTGTCCAGAGAAGTAATTATTTTTGAAATATGGAAAAACAGCTAAAATAGTTAAAACTGATTGCCTGCAGAGAACAAAATTGAGAGGTAGGGAGAAGGAAGATAGAGGACTGCTGTTTTTATTATTAGTCTTGTAATATCATTTTAAATTGTGAATACTGGGGCCGGCCCCATGGCCCAGTGGTTAAGTTCATGTGCTCTGCTTTGGCAGCCCAGGATTTCACTGGTTCAGATCCTGGGCGCAGACATGGCACCACTCATCAGGCCATGCTGGGGCGGCATCCCACGTGCCACAACTAGAAGGAGCCACAACTAAAAAATATACAACTATGTACTGTGGGGGGGGGGGGGTTTGGGGAGAAAAAGCAGAAAAAAAATAAAAACAAATAGTTAAAAAAAATTTTAAATCATGAATACATGCAAATCTGATAAAAATAGAAATGCTTTTTTAAAAATATATATTAAAAAAATCTTTTACTTTTTAAAATTTGATGAGAAGCCCGTTAATGCATACTATGATGATACCCTAATCTGGCACTCATTTTTGTCCTCAATTTTCTCTCACTTGTTCCCTGTATCAAATCCATTTCCAAATCATGTTACGATCCTGAATATGATTTGAACTCATTTACGTTAACTCCTGTGTCATCGCCCTGGCCTAAGGCTTCATCACCTCTTATCTGGAATACTGCCTGGTCTCCAAACAGATTTCCTGTTCTTACTCTTGCCACCCTCTGATCCATTCCACATACTGCAGTCAGACTGATGTTTTAAAATGCAAAACAGAACATGTCCTGCCCCTGCTTAGACCCCTGCAATAGCTTCGGGTTACCCTCGGAATAAATCCAAGGTCCTTCACACAGCCTCTGTGCCCTCCACACTCAGGTTCCCACTACGTCCCCAGCATCATTAGGCCACTTTCTCCTTCATTAGCTTGAATTTGCACATGCTGTTTCTCTGGTCTTACATACTTCCCCATCACTCTTTCCTTGGTTATCTCTTATGTTTTAGGATTCAACTTAAATGCCTCCATTTTTCTTTCTCTCACCCCCATATTCATTTTCTCCATAGTATTCACCATTTGTGATTGCATATTTACTTCTTCACTTGCTTGGTCTTTGTTTCCTTCACAGGCTTTAAGCTGCATGAAAGCAGGGGCTTTGCTTTACTTACTGTTGTATCTCTAGTATCTAGAACATTCCCTGTCACAGAGTAGGTCCCTAATCAATATTTATTGAATCAGTGAATAAATGGAATGTACAACAAGACAGCTTTTCTCAAAAGTGTGCGTACAATCACCAAGGAGAGATCTTTTTTTAAATGCACATCCTGATTCAGTAGATTTGGGATAGGACCTGGGATTCTGCATTTCTGACAAGCTCCCAGGTGATGCCAAAGCTGCAGCAGCTCATTCACACTTTGACTAGGCAGCCTAGAGGTAGTACAAAGACGCGCAATAGTGATACTTGTCCTGTAGGAAGGAGCTTATGATCTGGTGACGGACTTGCCTCATAAAGGTGATCTAAATCACCTCTATGCCGCCTTCACTTTAATTGAAATAGGAAAAAAGGAAGACCTGAAGCTACTTGAGATTGGGATAGATGTTGATAGACCTGGGATAGATCGGGATAGACCTTTCTAAACATTATACAAGACCAACATGGGCCGTGCCTGGCTATAACAAAATCATCCAAAGTCTCTAATAGCATACAAGATGTACAGGAAGCAATTGGCCATTCAATCTATGGGAATGGAGATCCTTTCTAACAAAGAAATGAACATTGTGAGATAGACTGATGAGAATTTGAATTTCACTCTGCTCCTAAGTAACTGTGTGACCTTAAGCAAGTAACTTATATTCTCTGCCTCTCAGTTTCATCATTTATCAATTGGGGCAAATGATATCCACCTTACAGGTGTGAAGATGAAGTAGGGTATCACATATCAATTAAATAACTGTGCCTGGCACGTGGTGGTCCTTTAAAAATATCCTAAAAAATGTTTCTTAGGTAGAACATTTTCCCTATAACATCAATTTCCCAAGGGGTGAGAGGCAATCAATATTTGGATGTTATGTTTGGCGCCTTTAACATCTCAGAGGAAAAAAAGGAAAATAAAACAAATAAATATGGAGGTTAAAGGCAGGCATTTTGGTCTAAGTGATCACCACGACGAATCAGAAAGCTGAACTTTAGTCCAGGATTCAACACAAACTGGATGTGTGACATTGAACAAGTTATTTAACATCTCTGGGCCTCTGGATTATTTCTAAATCATTGTATATACTTTGTTAAATACACTATCTTCTTACAGAAAATGATTATTCTTCTAAATCATTTGGTTTTATTTTATGTTTTCTTTCTTTTTGAAATATCGGTAAATTTCACATAAACATTAAAATCGCAGAATCATTGAATAATTAGAAGAAGAATTGGGAAAAAGTTTTTTTCCTTCTGAAATCTCTACTAAACAGCCTCAAACTGTATTACTAAGCTTTAAAGAAGCATATGAGATCAGCGAACTTAACTTGTTTTACTTGGAGAACTTCCATCATTTTTAGACTACACAGATATGAATAACTTCACTACCAGTGGAATTTGTTTTAGTTGCTATATATGCTATAAAGTTGTCATAACTTAGCACTAGAAATTCAAGAAAAACAGAACAATTTGGAGAAAATTCAAAATAAAAATTAAACTGTCCCTTCAGAATAATTGTGCTGTTTCTATGTAATAATGGAAAAAGTCAGCAAAAAGTTGCTTGACTACATAAATGTGTAGATAGAGATATGTTTCTCTATTTAAATGCTGACAAATGAATTTGTGAATTGAAAATTATTGTTTTTATGCCTTTAATCCTCCATCCCCCACTTCATTATAAATGGCTTTTGATTTCTTTTTTGCGTCCTTCTTATTTATATGCCCTACTCTCATATCTCAGTCTACTGCTGAATGTCCACGGAATGAAGCCATTGGGATCATTGGGATTTAGCTAGGCTCCTCAATGTCCCTGACTTCACTCATTACATATAAACACATTTGTTGTTACTCTTTTTTTTTTTTTTTTGAAAAAAGATTGGCACCTGAGCTAACATCTGTTGCCAATCTTTTATTTATTTATTTATTTTCCTTCTTCTTCTCCCCACAACCTCCTAGTACCTAGTTGTATACTCTAGTTGCAGGTCCTTCTAGTTGTGCCGTTGTTACTCTTAATCACTTCTTTTTATCAATTTCTTACTAACCCATACTACTTAATCCTTGAAAATCCACTCTGGTATTTTACAAAGATGGCAAATTCAAACTTCTGCTGTGTGTGACATGGCATTAACTGTATAAAGACACTGCCTGTCTGCTACGTTAATGTTTACTGATGTGTTAGTGTAATAACGACCCATTGGCTTCTGCTGTCTATGAGGTATTTTCTATCAATAGGGACAGAAATTAATGACAGAGTCTCTCTAAGCTGCATGATGTCAGAGCTGGGGAAGGTGTAAAGGGTACATAAGAGCTGGATTACTAGTTAACAAATGAGGGGGTAAACTCTCCAGCGGATGCAAGCTTAAGATTGTCCGTGAAGCTTTCTTGCTCTCAAAGACGTTTTCTGATATTGCTGACACTGAAACATTAAAAGGTAAAGAAATTCCTGTTTATGGGAAAGCATTATTTATTTAGGGAAGAACAGACTTGGGATTAAATATATGGCTTATTTCAAAGCAAAGTGAAAGCCATGATGGACTATAATATCAATTTTCCATCTTGTTTAGAGAAGGAAATTTGGAAAGTAGAAATTTTGAAAATATTTAAGAATTGTTTGAGCAGTATTAAGGGACTATATCAATAAAATTATGATCCTTGGGGACTATGCTTTAAAAAAGACTTTTTAAAAGGAGGCTCTAGTTTAAAATTCCATCAATCAGTGCCATAAGAAATTTCTTGATTTCAGTGCTGAATTGTGCTTTTTGGAAAATTTGAGAAGCAATGTGCATCCTGAAGCTGCCAGTAGTTCTCACTGTGCTCTCTGTCACGTTAAACCATCTGAAAGCTACACCCATTGAAAGGTTAGTAACTTTAAAATCCTGTTTCTTTTGCAAAGTGTGGGAAAATTAGAATTAAATACTTCTACGTAACTAACAGCCCTTGTGCCATTAGCTTTCTGACTAAATCTTGCTTAAGAACAGTACATTAAGCTGTCCAACAGTTCCTTTAATTCTGTGTTCTTTAAAGCATAATGCCAGTGGCTGATGAATTTCTCTGATGGAACTTCTGACAGACAGGAATGGATAGTTCCAGTTTGGTCAAGAAATATGCCATTGGAACTTAGAGGAGCAAAGCCAGGACATGAAGCAGGAAAAACCAAAAGGTAATAACTTCTGCTATATTAACCTGATTCTCAAACAAACTGAAGAAAGTTAATTACAGAATATATTTTACATCAGGTGGAATTTTATTGTATATTTACATTGGTTTTTTTCTCAAAGGGCTCTGGCAATATCCAAAACTTTTATTTCTAGAAAACGAAATAATCGGGGGGCAAGTTAAAATTTTTAAGAAGTTAAATTTAGAAGATCTAGTTAAAAAGCCATTTGCTCTTAAGGGATTCTTTCTATATTGTTAACTGTTAATGAAACAGAATTATAAGAAAATTACAATATTCTTCATGAGATTTCTTCTGAGCTGCTCTAAATGTAAATTAATACCTCTTGAAAATATTTTCAATAGGAAACATATGCATCAGGATTTCCTAGGAAGACTTATTTTGAAACGTGCCATGTCATTTAAACAGTAATTTTAAGGAAATCTAAAAACTGTGTCAGATGAAAATGTAAGCAGTAACTACAACTTTCAAGTGCAAAGCCTTTAAAACTGTAATTCTCCATTTATTTAAAAGATTCTTAAGTCCAAATTCATGCATGTGTCATAAATAATATAATGATAATTTGTTCGTGCCTAAATCAATTTGACTCTCTATAGTCTTGTGGGACTGAACTTGTATGCTCTTTAGGACCAAGGAGAATTAAGTTTACTTCTGAAAAGAGTTTGCTTTAAGTCGTATTAGAGCTTTCCTCATAGAATTATCAGCATCTTGTCTACTTTCCTTCAGGGTGTTTTTTGTTAAGATGGAGGTCTGTGGTAATATGCAAAGATTTCTGCAGCACTGACGTATAATAAATAGGAGGAATCGTCAAATTTTCCTTCTCATTTCAGAGCTTATCTAGTTTACAGGATGTTCTTCTCAGAATTGACTGTAATTTTCAATTGGATTTTTTGTGGATAAAAATAACTTTAAAACAGACATGAAGTTTCTAGTAAACTAGCAGAACAATCGAACGATGACAGGAAAATTTGCAGTATTACCCAGTATTTCTATCTGTATCTTGATATTTTCTTACGTTTGATAGAGACATTTGCTGAACACCTTTATCCAATATGTCTATGGATATGAGTTTACTGTGAGGTGAACTTCACTCAGAAATAGAATAGTACATAACAGTATTTAATATTAAATTATTTTCATACTATTCCCACAATATCTTACTTTGAGTTTTTATTAGACATACTTGTAAAACATTCTTCAAATTGCTCTTTAGTGAATTTCCTGAAATCAGCATATTTGGTCATTTTTTAAAAGGGGAGGAGAATTTATCATCCTGAGTTGCTCAATCATGTAACATTCTATAAATCTCAGACAAAGCTGAGAGAGCCTATGTAGAAAATGTCTCAAATTTTAAACACCTTTAAAATATAAAGCTAATGTAGATTTATTATTCAATGTCATGTTTCTCATAAAATTCTATCATCTCACTTGAGACCTTTTTCAACTTTAATACGTGTATGAGATGGGACTAAAAGGTAACACACTGACTTTACAAGCCATACCCAAAACTTGTTATTTTATGCTCAAGACTAAGCTAAAGGATCACACACTTGCCCATCAACTTTTTAATACTCAGTTGTAAATATCTGCCTGGTGGATAATCAGAGGATAGCCAAAATCTAAGCACACGGGTTTTAATCTGTAGTCACTAGGAGCTCCCTATAGCAACTTATACACTTCCACTGATGAATATCAAGACCTGGGAGTAGGGACATATTTTTAAACTATTTTTAAAACCTTTGAAACAGATATTTTTAAAGAGAGACAATTTAAGAGTTATAGTTTGGCCTCTAGTCATCACTGTTTAAACTCAAAGTCAAGAATTAGTGCATCTGTGTAACTGGTCAGTGGCTTTACACTAGTGTTTATTACTGGATGATAGGCAGGTTGACCTTGTCTGCCTGGATAGTCAATGAGGAAAAATGCCTGAAAGCATTTTATGTCTTTCACTAATTATTTCAACGATCTTTTTCTATCTTGATAGTTTTGGGTGGAATCTTGTACATCCTGACTATTCTATTTACATGAAAATCTTGTTTGGGAAAGCGGTTTCACAGTTATGAAACCAACCACATAAAAGCTCTTAATATTTCCTTTAAGTAGGATGATGGCCCTGTAGCTAACCCAGATAAGGTAACATTTTAGTTAGAATAATTTTAAATCCTATTACAGACCTTGAGACCAGTTATCAAAGTACCACTCAGACGTTTAGCACATGGGATATTTCACACTCTGCTCCAGGCATTTGCCACACATATCTTGGGACAGATATCCCTTGGAACCTTCCCAATTTGACCCATAATTTTCTTTATAGCTTTCAATTTATTAGTTTGAAGTGTTTGGGTCAAATTCCAATACCTGCTGTTTTTCAGGAAAAGTTTATCATCTTTTAGAGTTTAATGTCCAATGTATGAATTACTGGTTCACTTCTGAAAAGCATGAAATCATTCTTTGGAAAGGCACATTGGCCATGCTTAGTACACAGGCAAGGAAAAATAACTGAGCAGATAATATGAATATTGATATATAGCCCGCGTAATTAGGTCCCAAAGTTGGTTTCCTTTGCCTGAATATTGGTTGGTCAACATATACTTATAATCAACAGATATCCAGTTCACTTGATGCTGTAAGAAGAATTTTGTGTATTTGGGAGGAAATACGAAAGTAAAAACCCTAAAGTTTCACATGAGATTTAAAAATATTTTCTCTCAGGCTATCTCTATCCAGAGATACAGATAATGAAGTACTCCCCACACAAAGGAAACATATTGAAATAAAATCCATTGCATTTTGCCCAAAATTATGTACATTCACTGGCTTCTGGATGTGCCTATTCCGCTTTTCCACTTTACACTTACCTTGAGTTTCACCAATATTTTGATTTCTATAGAGCTGTAAACTAAAACATTTCCCTATCTTTCCCTCTTCTTTTTTCTGCAAAAAGGAAGCAGTGCTATTATTCTGTATCTATTTCCAATACCATTTTGAAAGCACATTGAAACAAAAGGCGATACAAAAGTATAGAGTTGATAAAAATTAACTCTGCAAATAGACACAGAAGTTAAAATTCAAGTGAATTATTTAATCATAGTTATCATTTCTGACTTACCTCTACTATTATCAGGCAATTGTTTCAGGCAGCTGAAAGAATATAGTGAATATTCATAGTATTGACACAAAAAATCCTATAGTTTTAACATTTAACCGAGACCTGTCATTAAAATTGTTAACAGCATAAGAATGAAGTAGGTGGCAGGAAGATGGCAATGTTCATGTATTTATGCTAAGAATAATGGAACTCACACTACAATAGTCAAGAGTGCCTGAACAGATGATAAATTGTCTTCCCCTTGAGACTTTGTAATACCTGACATTTCTCTCTTAACACTCCTGATTCAATGATCTCAAGGAAGTTAACAGAAATTAACTTACACTGCTTAATTCTTAACAAAAATTAACTTACACTGCTTAATTCTTGTTGGAAAGGTGTGGGAAATGAACATATATATTTTTAATTCCACATACTCCAGGTTGCATATAAATTTTACATTGTAAATCCTTTTAATATATCAGGAAATAGATTTGTTGACAAGATTTAGAAGAATATAAGACAAAGACTCTTTTTTATTATCATTATCTGGGACATATTCTGACTTTCCAAAGAAAAGAGCATACTGAGAAATCCGACATTGACTGTAAAAGAAGGTTTGTTACACAATTTCCTAGTCAAAAATTGATTCTACTCCATCTTCAAAGTGTCAAAAAAATCTCAATCATCCAGCTGTTTCCAAACCGAAATATTGGGTTACTTATGTGAAAATGTTTCTTTTAGTTTTCATCAATATGAGCTATTTGGTGTCACCTAGCTATGTCCAATTCTCAGTCTAAGTCTTTAACCTTTCTTGTTTGTTCAATGTTACCAGTCATCAGATGGAAAAACGGAAATGTGACACTGCCACGTGTGTGACTCAGCGCCTGGCAAATTTTTTAGTTCATTCTAGCAACAATCTTGGTGCCATTCTCTCACCTACCAGTGTGGGATCCAACACATATGGCAAGAGGAATACAGTCGAGATTTTCAACAGAGAACCACTGAATTACTTACCCCTGTAGAGGTCAGTGTACCTCTACAGTTCTTATCGTTCTACGTATAAATACTCGAGATTTCCTGTATAATTTAACAGTGACTTTTTCATTGCTAGTGTGAACGTATGAGTCTGTGTATCTCACGTTTGTTTCCCGCACATATAAACTGTGGCCTTAAGAATTGTTTTACATTTAATATTAATCAAGATCCCATAATAAAAAGGCAATGACTTTCAAAATGAAATGTTCTTGCTATAGATTTTTATTTTTTAACATTTTTAAAGTCATTTCTTTTGTCTGTGTCTCTCTGACCTGAATTTGAGAAACAAAGGAGAAAATGATCATTGGAAACTTGATAAACTGTAAACATGATTCTGAACATTAGAAAATCAGCAATTTTAACTACCCTTGTTAAGTAATCCCTTTTTGCGTCAGATTTCTGAAATGAGAAAAAGAATGCTGTTAAAAAAATTAATTAAATCCTGCTCCTGACTCAGTCAAAATATTTTGAAAAATTCTATTCTTTGTTGTACTTGCTGGTACTGAGGTTATTTAGAAATGTAAAAGCAATTTGTGTCCATGAGGGTTTCATTGTGTGTTCTCATCAGTGAGCTTTTATTAAATGTATATGCCCTTTATACTGTTTAAGTGGCTTTCAGCAAATAGTCATATCTTTATGGAGGGTATTGCAAAAGCAACTTGTGTTCCTATTAATCACGTCTTCAATTAAAATACCACAGGCTTCTGGAAACCATGTACTGTATGGCAACTTATTTTCACTGTCACGCTAATTGGACATTTCTGGCAGAGGTTACGTGTGTGTGATGTGCTTTTTTGAAGGAAGTTGCAGTAGTGGATGTGAAATGAAGTGTTTTGCTTTAAGTCAGATTCTTACAGGATATCTGCTTTTCCCTAACTGTGAATTAAGCACCTTGGAAAGTAGCATTAATTCATACAAACTCCTATCATGCTACTTTATGCCATTTCTAGAAGGCAGTCAGCTTTTATTTTAAAAAAATAGAAAAAAGAAGCATCTAAATCTTAGTGAGAATCTGATTCATTGACTTGATCTCTACATTAAATTTTCCTTTTATGAAGTGTGCCTTAGATTACCAGATTATAGAGGTAGGGTTTGTTTGTTTGTTTGTTTGTTGGAGTGTATAGAGACAGGAGATGTTATTTATAAGGATTTTATATCATGAATTACATATTGAAATAAATAAATGAGCATATAAATTCCTATTTGTGATGTTCAACTGTTGGTCTTCCTTCAAAATGGATTTGAGCTCAACATTTTAAATTGAGTAAGGCACATTTAAATAACAATCCCTTAAATTTACTTATTTAAAAATTTCTCACAATAGTCTACTTTAAGTAACACTTTATTGCATATCACATCTATGACAACTTCCCAATCCATCTTTCAAGAGTTAATGAAGTTTTAATGAGCGCATATGATGTTCAAGGACATTGTATGCAGTAGCGCACAATTACCAGGTATAAAACAAGAAAAATTATGTATAGTAAACCTAAAAACCTCCGGTGCTAAGGAGTAGAAGGTAGTTAGTTACTATGTAAGTTATTCCAACTGGGAGACTTTCGAGAAGGAAAGAGATTATTACATTGATACGATAGACATTAATTGTAAATATTGTTCTAAAGTTTATTCATAAATTTATTATCAAAGTGAAACATTTGAACAAATTCTGCATTGTTTCCTTAGTTGATCTTTGTAGGCCAGTAGGAATGTAAATGTATAAAAGTTGGGAATGCCTAATTGCCATGGAGTGTACCAGATACTTTCCCTGGTTTCTCGCAATTACCTTGTGAGAATAATGATGAGTGTAACAATATAATTGGAGATATCAACAGTAGGTTTCAATGATTAAATTTATCCCAATCTTTCTCATTGTGCCTATGGTGCATGAAATCATAGGTACTCTTGAGTAACGTAAGAGTGAGTTAAGCTTCCAAATATTTATCTACACACAACAAATTATATATTATTGAACATTTAGAAATGCAAATGATTCCTCTATCTTCCATATTGCAATACAGAGTTAGAATAAAGAATTTCTTTATTAATACCACATTTAAAACTTCTAGAAATTCTCTTGAGCCTTGTGAGAGGATATTATGCAATAAGCCTCTTACTTCCTGAAGCCTGAATATTATTAACTAGAAATATTATGCTTAGATTTTTTTTTCCTTCTGGAACAAGTAAATTTTATTGGAAGAACACAAGTGTTCTATAAAATGCAAGAAGCTTAAGCAGCAAACACATTTTCAGGACACAGAAATGAGGATAGCTCAGGAAACTCAACAACATCTTTTCAATTATATGCTCTGCAGTGAAAGGATATTAATGAGCCTTTGCAGGCTATCACTCATTCTCTAAATGTAACAAAAGTATAAGTATCAAACCAAGTAGCAACGGCTGGGAACTCAGTGACACCGAAAACAGAGGGTGAAGGAAGGTCTCAGAGAAAAGGTGCCTCCTGGAGAGACCAATCAGCCTGAGACCTCTGCCGTCCACCCTGTAGAATACATGTACAGGACAGACACATTTTGACACATCCCGTGTATAAAATATTTCAAAAGATTTCTTGAGTAAGCACAAAAGCACATTTTGTAAACAAGGAACACAACCCGACGTCCAAGCTAATCCCAATGTCACAGTACCCGAAAGTCAATTTCTGGTCACATGACAAATAGTTGACGTCACAGGGCCACTCCTTGAGTGGAAGTTCTGCAGGTGAAGTTCATGTCTTTGGAGAACTGCTGTGGTTCTGTGAAACTCAACCCCTGTGGACTAAAGGTTATCCTTACACACGGCCAATGCCAATGCTACATATAAATGGAAAATTCAAGGCAAAACAAGAATACAGATGCAGTAAAGGGCAGAACCTATTTATCCATGTAGAAGCATTCTTCCCTTCAGCTCTAAAATTAAAATCATTTGTGAGGGAGCACTCATCTGTAGTCATGGGAGGGTCTTTATTATTGTTATTATTTTAAGCCACTTTATTGAGGGATGAGGGTATGATTGACAGACCAAAAAGCTGTACATATTGAATGCATACAACTTAATGAGTTTAGAGGTAAGTATATGTCTGAGAACCATGACCACATTCTATGCCATAACATTTCTGTTCTCTCCAAAGTTTTACTTCACCTATTTTTTCCACTAATTTTATTCAAACTATTTATTAATGATTAATAATATTAAATATATTTATTATGTGTAATAAGAGCACGACATAGAATTTACCCCCTTAGCAAATCTTTCTGTACACAGCCCATCTCTTCTGGGCTCTGGAGAAGTCGAGGTGCTTGGTTCCTGGCTTTACCCATATTTCACACACGGCAGCTTAGTCCCTCAACTGCCCAACCTTAGACTCCCAGTTGATCCGAGAGCTGACTCGACCCCAGGCCTTTCGGCACTCTGGAAGGCCACTGTGTCTGACTGGCGGGGGTGACTGAGAAAGTCATTGACTCTCTTCAGGATTCACTGCACAGAGCCCACTGCCATTCTTCTCTGAAGTGGGTAAGAAGCAGTACGGTAGGTCTGCCTGTGAATAAGAAGAGGCAAGGGAAGCTCAGAAGGCCAACCCAAATCTAAGATGTGAGCTGGCCTGGCTGGCCATCCTCAGGAATCCAGATACTGTGCTCCTGGAGTCAGCATGATGGACTGAGAGGGCAAACTTGAATCCAGAGGGGTCGAGAGGAGATCCTTCAAACTATACAGGTGTGTCCACATTTGCACATTGTTTCTACCTTTTTTGAAAGGACTGCACACTAAATATCCATAACACAGAATCTGAGTCCTCTCTTACCAAGTGTTGTGTCATGTCCTGTGTATCACAAAACACAGAGATCAGACCTCTGACTTCACATGCAGACAAAAACTCAGTTCACTTGGAAAATGGAAAATAGCACCTGTCCCAGAATATATGTCTTAACTTGACAAGAGAGCCATATTTTCTCATATCATATCCATCAGTGTCCAATGTTACCTTCTGTCCCACCACCATGCTGAGCTTAAGGTAGTGTGGGAGAATGCAGAAAGGGAACACGAGACACAGCCCTGCACCCACGATGCCCATCACAACTTTCACACTAATGTCCCTTGTTGTCGCCACTCTCAGTTTTTCCTTCTACTCTCAGAGTGTCCTCATATCTCTGCTGGGTTCTTATGTGCCAGCCCCAGACTTCACCAATCTTGAGAAATCAAAAACCTAAAATAGGAAAACCAGAAGGCCCTTCCCCTCCTCAAATTGCAACTCCCCCCATCCTCTCACCTGTCCGTAGCTGCAGTGCCACACATGATGCACACACCCCTCACTGTTGTGCACAGCACCCTCTTCCCTGTGAGTGCAGACAAAGTCCCCTTGAGGCAATGTCACCACCCCTGTGAGAAGACCAAAGTGGCAGAGGGGCAGACCACCAAGCAGCAACACCTTCTAACAGAATCGGGGAAGGGACAGTCAGAGCCAGTGAGTACATGGCCTCTTCAGCAATGAAGAATAGGAGGGTGAAATCCTCCAGCCTAGAAAGCTCACCAGGGACATTCCTGGACATCCAGGCTCATCTGCACACGCCCCTGAGGATCTAAATGTCCACAGCTTCAACTACTATTCATTGACAGGACCCAGTGACTCTTGTCTTCCTACCAATGTGCAGAGTGTACTCAGCAGAAGAGTGCACACAGCTAACGTGGAAATGTTTGGATAAAACTCCAGCCGAATTCCCATCCCGAAATTCAGGATCCCTAATGATTCCTAATATGTCATTGCTCCGCATGGTGAACAACACTCTGTTCATCACCTTTATGTCAGAGCGCAGAAGACTGACAATAGGCCATGGCCAATTTCTTCCCAGGGACCCAAAATTTCCCACACCCCACACTTGGCCATTGCCAGTGTGCACTTTCTGTAGGCGTTTAAGGAGGCATTTGAGTCATGTGAGGGTGGAAGGAAGAAGTGTCTGGGAGGTTTGTTGAAAGAACACACCAGCAACAGCAGCTCACTTTCATCATTCTCTCCATGAGAACACAGCTCACTAACAATATGAAAGACTGAGTGGTCAACTCAACCAAGAGCGATTATTAACCAGAAGCAACAGCAGGAGCCTCTCCCAAGACTCCCTCAGGTTAATGTTCTAGACAACAGTGTAGCAAGGTGAAGGGCCACCATTACATGAACCATTTTTCACAGGATAAGTCAGTGTGCAGTGTGCAGGATGAGGCAGAAACAGCAAAGCATTCCCCAGCAGCAAAGTCCAAAATTCTCAGGGAAGTTGGACAAATAAGGAACAGAACCCATCATCAAAATTTCATCTTGGCCAGTGGGCCATATCTTCTCATGTCACACTCAACAATCTGCATTGTTATCTTCTACCCTCCAGCCACGCTGATCCCACGTAGCGCCAGGGATGAGGAAGTGGGCAGGAGACACTCTTGAATATATTAAGGCCAATACACCCTTGACACTGAGGGCCCATATCCTCCTGTCTGCTTTGTCCTCGTGCTCTGAGAGCAGCTCTACAGAGGGACACTCTTCCCAGCCCCCTCCCCACCTCTAGGCTTCAAAGACCTGAAGCAAGGAGTTAATCCTTCCATCTTTCCTGATCAGAGAACCCCTTTCCCCATGTTAGCCTCCAACCTCTATCATTCTTCTCAAGAGAACAGACAATCAAAAGTGCCTGGAGAACCAGTCAGGAAATCTCTTTAGCTCAAGATGTATTCTCTCATGTAAATTGGTAAAGCCACAATGGAAAACACTATGGAAATTCCTCAAAAAGTAAGAGTAGAGCTACCGTATGATCCAGCAATCCCACTTCTAGGGGTATATCCAATGGACATGAAATCACTATCTCAAAGACATATCTGCACTCCAGTGTTCATTGGAGCATTATTCACAACAGCCAACACGTGGAACAAACTAAGAGTCCATCAACAGATGAATGGATAAAGAAAATGTGGTACATACATACAATGGAATACTTTCAGCCATAGAAAAGTTTGCACATCACAGGGAACCAGTATAACATGGAATACACTCCATTTCAAGAGCCTACCCCTAAGGGTTCCAATATAATCCCTTCTCTTTCCAACCCCCACGTAAATAAGAGGAATGAAAAAATACATATGGCAAACAGGTCTTCAACATGGAATTCTTAACACCAAGAATCTACAGCACATTAACATTCACAAGAGTGAGAACACATTCATGAGTACATGCCTCATTGGGCTAAGTGACATACATGGTTGGCCTCGGAATGAACTCCTGGGAAAGAACCATGGAACCTGATCCCATCTTACATTCTGAGGAGAGTCTCCTGCTCTTTCCTGAGAGGCTTGATTTTGAGAATGCCACCAATTAGAGAGTCACCCTTTTGGAATCCTCAACTCCATGACTTATTTTTAAATGCCAATACTCAGTGGATTTACCCATTAAACCGTTCATTTAGGTCTTTCCCAACCCTCTCCTACATAAAGTGACCTAAGATGACTTTCATGGGCAGTGGGTACAACAAGTGAGTGTGGAAAGGGAAGAAGGCATCACAGTTATTGTCAAGTTTCACAAGCGTTTTTGCCTAGCATCTAAGCAAGTCATGGTCACTGTCATGCCACTTGGTGAAGAAACATGGGCTTGAGCACGGGTTTTTCTAAGCATCTCAGACCTCGGGATTTCACTGGATAGACAACTATAATGACCTCATCTTCCAAGGCCCTAAAGTAATCTAACAGATTACAAGGATAAGGAAATGTCTTTGTAATGCCAACACAATGTATAAAAGCAACATACTTTAGTTTCGAATCACGAAGAAATGTGGATTGTTTTGACCTTTGGTGAGTGAACTTGAGATTCTATGATGTCACCTTCTAGATAAAACCTGTGATAATAAAGTCACTGAAGAACCAGAGGTATCTATGAATCTAAAGGTCAGAAGTGTCTTTGAACACATCTTAGAAAGTTCATATCTATATCTAGCACTCCCTTGCCAATTGTCCAAAGTCTTCACTTGAGTTTCAACAAATTAACCATCGTCCAGGAAAGAAGTGACTTTATACAGACAAGGAAGAGGGGAGACTTTTGTGGCACTGCCAGTTAACAAGTGCTCTCCAGCCTGAACTTGGTGCTGAGCCACATCAGCTTTGATGAAGGGCATGCAAGTTGGCCAGAAAAGAATGTGGTTCAGAGAAGGCAAAGTCCGAATTGCCCAGCTTTCCCTTGGCATCATAGGAGAATTAGAGAAGCTGGTTTCTAGAGAGATGTACAGTAATCGCTGAGGAAATTTGCTGGCCCGTAGGGGTAAACTGGCAGACTACCACTCTCTGGCACCCACTTGGTGTACAGGTCTCATCATTGTCCCCCACTTCCCAGTTAGAGCTGGCTTTAAATTACATGCAAATCCACATTCTCGCACTTGTCTGCCTGGTCTTGAGTATTAGTTCCAGTTCCACTCTCTTCTCATTACAGGTCCATAGGCTGACCAGTACTGGACTTTTCCACCACAAGTGACTTTTGGGATGGCAGGAGAGGGACCCACCATGTTCCCTCATCGCAGAGGGGAATGGTCCACCTGTGCTTAGATTTAAGAATATCTTTTGGTTAAGAGAGAAAAGCTCATGAGTCTAAAGCTCCTTTGGCTGACTACAGGGAAGGCTTTTCATATAAAGTTGGAGGAAGTATTCTTTTCCACCCATTATCCTCCCTTTCACATACACACTACCCAAAGCTGTGAAAAGATTCATCTCACTTACATCCAATGTACTGGTAGTAGACATTATAAGCGCTCTTCTTCCTGAGCACACAGGAGATTATAGTTCTCAGCCACCTTGCATTCAGATGCGGCCACGTGGCTAATTCTGGCTAATGAAACATTGGCAGAAATGATGTGTGTCACTTCCAGGCTGCACAGTAGGTAAAGAGCCTATGTGAAATTTTTCAGTCTTTCTCCTTTCTCTGCTCCAGCAGTTCCTGATGAGGAGGCGTCCAATCAGGCTGTGTCCCTCAGTGACCTGGTGAAGCAGAACGTTCCTACTGATCTGTCTTGGACATGGTGTGTGACCAAGCAGTAAACTTTTGTGCCTTTTTTCTGCAGCCTACCATAATACAATAACCAAAGTCAAACTGTCATCCTACCTAACAAACCTACTTCTGCTGACTCCGTTGTATTTAATAAAGCACAGCCATGCTTCCACTATAAATTAGCCTTGAAATCTTGAAATTATCACCAATTTCTCAAATTCCCTGCTTCACACATTCAAATCAGTTGCCAGGACATATGTCCTCTAAGCCTCCTTGCTACTAATATATGTCTCTCTTTTCTTCTCCTTTTACCAATGATATAACTCTGGCCATCTTCACTGCAAGCCAGGACCTCTACAACAGCCTGCCAATAGTTATCCAATCTCCAGTATATTCTGCCCTTCTACACACCAATACCAGAATGTTTCCAAATGCACATTTCTTACTACATCAGTCTTCTATGCAGAGTTTCTCAAAGGCTTGTTGGTTTGTTGTGATCTACAAAAATACATCAACTTCTTTAGCCTGACATTCAAGTCCTTGCATAGGTTAGCCCCAATCCTCTTTTCTGGCTTTATCACACATCATTTCACTTCATATACTTACACTCTGCCAAACTCTTTGATTGTTTTAGTTGTTTCTATTTAACTGATATCATCACATTTTCTCTTATTTTTCCGTCTCTGTCTCTTCCCTTCATTCCCTCCAAAGTGAACAACTGTTCCCATGCAGGCTTTTGAAATCTTTCAATGACAAAGTCATCAAGAATCTTTCATCACTGTCCCACTGAATACAATTTTTCCATTCACTGAGCTCTCATCATACTTTGAAGATATCATTTAGAGTCAAAAGAAATATGATGTTAGAGTATTGTATTATTACTATTTCATTTGTGTTAAAAATACTATATTCTAAGGTTACATTATTGCTGTATTATTTGTGTGACTGAAACATTTCTCTTTACCATTGCTAGGTTCCTAAGAACAGAGACTAGGACTTAATCCTTCTTTCCAGAAATTTCCTACTTCACAATCAAAGAACTTAAGCGTATCTACATATTCTGGAGAGAGTTAGGCTACTTGAGCAGTTTCCAACTTCTGTCCTTGATATTGGGCTGGTATAGAGCTTAACAGCTCTCCTGAAAATGATTTGACATTTACCACCAGCATCCTTTGGTTGACAATGGATTAAGCAATTGTACTATCTAAACATATCATGTAGATTATGGAAGAAGCTAGCACTTAGCATTTTATCCCAGGGATGTTTTGCCATGTAACTAAAAATAATTGATAAATTGCTATGGAATATATTTTCATTATACCCGAACATATTAATTATGGTTTTCTTGCCTTGATTTGAGTTACTAAATCCTTTAGGAAATGAATTTCATCATCAAATAAACTGAACATGGTATTGTGCAATTAAATATTTAAATTCCATAAAGTAATTATTAAAACAAGAATCCTCAATTTTTATAATAAATGAGATTAAGTAAATTCCATAAAAATGGGCTTTCTGGTGGAGTGGGACAGGAGCAAATGGTCATGTTTCTCAATTTATTGGAAGACAAATGCTTTTTCATTTGAAAAATGATAAAACATGCTAGCATACTTCCCTTTTAATTGATTTAGAATATGCGTTTAACTCGTAAGCAAATTTTGTAAACAAAATTCAAATCTTTCCCAATTATTTGAACTTTGAAAATTATTTAATTTTAATCACTTTTGTGAAAATGTAGTAGTATACACTGGCCATTCCTCTACATGCTGATCTTTAACCTACATTTGGAAAACATTTACACTGATGGAAATGTCTCTGCTTTGAAAGCTTGATTGATAGTTCATAATGAGATATCAAAGAACATAGTGAGTTACAGTTCTGTGGCACTTTCAACAAGAGAAGTAAAGACACAAAGCATATTAGAAAATCATCCATGATGCTCAAACATGCCTTGATAATCAATCTGGAGAGTTCCGGTCAATCAGGAAAGAAATAGATTAAGTATTTGTGCTAAGTAGATTTATCAGCTTAGAAACCAAATAGGAGCTAAGACTGTACATATGAACAGCCAAGTGTTTTTCTGTGAGGCAACATGTGATTAGTAAAATAGCTATATCGTTGGTCTGAAATTAATATCCTTAAGGATACAAACCATCGCACTTCATGCTGTCTGGAATAAGAACACTCTCAATAATTTCTTAAAAATTAAATTATGCTGTAATTGTTATTCATATAGCAGCTAATATTTTTCCTCTTGGGATTCAGAGATCTTTTCTGCATAGTGGATGCCATGTTCCACTATCTAAACACCTTTACTTAGAATTCTGTAAGAAGACCAGGTGATAATAAGAATTACAAACACATGTTTTAAGATTACAAGGTGGATCACAAGCTTTTTGTGGTAGGTAGGACCAGGTATTATTCTGTTGTTGAGTAATAGAAAGAATCTAAAAGGGCAAGTCTACTGATGAAAGTCCATAGGACAGTTTTGGGGAAACACCAACAGCTGCTTTTGGACATCTGCAAAATGCTACTGCTTATCTGATAATTACTCAAAGGGGCTTCTCATTATTTCTAGGAAGGAAGCCTTTTCAATACAGCCTTTATAATAACTATTTTTGCTGCTAAAGAAATCACTGAGTAACAAGGTCCAGTGGAAAAGTCCACGGTGTTTCCAAGGCCCTTTGGGTATTTACCAACAGTGTGAAATACACCTATGCTGGGTAGAACTAAGTAATGGCATCTTCTTAAAAATTGCACTCAGATTTTTCACCTCTTCCTCGTTGTGTAGAAGGTGTCAATAGCATCCCTGATTTCAGACCTGCTATTTCTTCATGAGGACAGTGTAAAAATGCTTAGGAGGTGAAAAAATAAACTACAGTAGGAACCAGAGATTTGAATTTTGATATATCATTATTGATCTGAAGTCTTTTTTATCTCCTGGAAAAGATAAGAAATACACATTTCCCCTTCTCTTTCCCAAAGGAGAGAACCACCGTTTTGCTGCTGGTCACCATGCAGCTGAAGACGAGAGATTTGCATTTGTTCCACAGCAACACCCATGGGAGGGGCTAGGAGAGAGCTAATGAGGCCGTATGGTAGGAAGGCTGTGCAGCTTGGAGTCAAATAGACTTGGGTGACTATGATCGAGTTACTCTGAACCTCCGTTTCCCATATGTGACATGAAAAGAACAATAAATAACAGAGATTGTGAAGATGAAATGAGATCTTGTCAGTGATGAAAATAGCTAGGATTTTGGCTGCAAATCTCCCCTACAATAAATGTTGGTTCTTTCCTTTCCTTTTGTAGAGGAAGCCACCTCTTTCTTCTATAAAGCATTTCCCACAAGGTCCACTTTGCCACGGTAGAATGGCATTGGATGACACTTTGTAAGCGGGAGGTACCTGCCCGTTGTAGAGCTCAGGAAGGTACTGAGGAGGCAGTTAATATGCTTTTTAATGACAGAGACTCTACTCTACATCTGAATGTCCCTATCTGATTGTCCATCTCAGCCTGTACTTGGTATGATTTAATTGGTACCCATAAATTGCTAAGCCCCCACTGCCCTCCCATTTAGAGCTACATTTATGGCATGTTCACTATGTGCCAGATGCTATTTTAAGCTCAGTCACATGTATTACCTGGTTTAATCCTCGTAAAACCCTATTAAAAAAATTATTATTTCCAGTTATAAAATAAGTTCTGGAGATGTAATGTCCAGCATGGGGACTATAGTTAATAATACCATATTGTATATTTTAAAGTTATTAAAAGGGTAGATTTTAAAAGTTTTCATCACAAGAAAAAAATATTTGTAACCATGTGTGATGATGGATATCAACTAGACTTATTGTGGTGATCATTTCTCGATATATACATATATCGAATTATTATGTTGTACATCTGAAGCCAGTATAATGTTATACATCAATTGTATTTCAATAAAAATATCACTATTCCTGTTAATACAGATTGTACAGATGAAGAAACTGAAGCTGTTTGACCTTGGGAAAATCACTTAACCTTCATCTGCCTCATTTGTGCCAAATACAAATCAAGTTCCATGGTGGAGTCAAGACACTAACCCAAATATTAACCCAAATAGTCATCACTCCATACATTTGCTTAGCACCTATTATATGCCAGACATTCTTAAAAGTGCTTGGGAGGCCTCAATAAACCAGACAGGGGGACAGCTCAGGGGCATAGCGGTTAAGTTTGCTGGATCCACTTCAGTGGCCCGGGGTTCACTGGTTCAGATCCTGGGCGTGGACCTACACACCACTTATCAAGCCATGCTGTGGCAGGCATCTTACATATAAAGTAGAGGAAGATGGGCACAGATGTTAGCTCAGGGCCACTCTTCCTCAACAAAAAGAGGAGGATTGGCTGCAGATGTTAGCTCAGGGCTAATCTTCCTCAAAAAAATAATAATAATAAAAAGTAAACCAGACATAAAAAATCCCCCATCCTCATGGAATTTACATTCTAGTTTTGGGATTGTGGTGGTGGGTACCAGAGCTGTGCTCTTAGCCACTATGTTTAGCCGCTGCCCCCAACCTAAGGGATTCATAAAATCTCTCATCTGTCTTTCACAGCTAGATAAACTAAATCACAGGCACTTTGAGGAAAGCAAGAAATCGGGACAGAATTAGAAGAAAAAAAGCCACTATTTTCTAAGTACCATGTATGTGCACTTTACATATATATTATTGTTAATCTTCACAACACGCTGTAAAGTGGATATTGGTATACCATTTATTGATAGAAACCAAGGAGTAAAAGATAAACTGATATAAAAATGTCATTCTTTAAAATGGATATGAATGACAGGGATTTCTTTGCTTTCTCTAAACAGCCACATATTTCAAAATAAAGAATTATATTTTTAGAAGAAAATGAGCTGACTTGTCCAAGATCACACAGATAATAAGGATCATTCCAAGATTGGAACCCATGTTTATCAGACTCCAAAGCTCAGACAATTTCCCTACATCGTGTCCAAACAAAAATATTTTTCTTCCACTTCCCCTGTGCCCTGCCAAATCAGTTTGTCTTGGAACTGGACAAACAGGTCAGGCAAAAGAATAATGGGACAAAAATATGTTTGATGTTAAGAATAACAACATTTACTCTACTCAGTATGAGATAGTTTTGCCGTGTCTTATTTTGTTTTTTAAGGTTTCAACTGAAAGAAAGTTTGAAAAATCTAATTCACTTATTAAATATGTCCAATACTAGAAGATTACTGGTGGCTTATCTTTATTCCATGTCCCCCAAGCCAACTGAGATTTTCTATTGAGACTTTTACTTCTTTGTTCTGTATACAACTAAGAAAATTTTCTTTTGTTGTTAAATGAAAACTCTGCTGGGTGAACAGACCCACATCCAGTAACCAGTCCATTAATGTCCTTCCATGGGGCTTCAGACTACATTTTCACCTGCATTGCTCTGCTCCCCTTGTACAGTAACCTTCTACACATTCCAC